AACCGAACACGCCCGGAGCCATCGCCCAAAAGACGCCTCCGTCTTATACAAAAATATCAAAGAAAAAAATATCAAAGAAGAAGCGATAAGGGAGGGAGGGCGGGCGGCATATTCCTCGGCGTGCGCGCATGATCCGCGGCCGAATCGCGCGGAGATCAAGGAAAGCGACCGGCCGCGACGGCACCACCACCGCGCGCGCGGCGCGCCAGAAAAATCATGTGCCGCGGGCCGGAGTTTTCCAAGTTTCGGGGTGGACCGCGCAGCTGTCCCTGGCGAGAGCAGCGGGGAACGTGGTCTGCGCGCAACGGGACGAGCGGCGGCATGTGAGATCCCGCCGTCGACCGGATGAGGCGGGCATCGTCGGATACGCGTCGCTGTTGTGCCGGGATCTCTCGGCCCCAACGGTGGTGTCTGTTGCCTGATCGGCGCGGATCCGGCGCGGCGTGGCGTGGCCTTATCTATCTCCCCGGAACGCGGCGTCATCGGATCGGATCGGGTCGGGGTAACGGGGTTGGCTTTGTGCGGCTGCGGGAGGTGACCGGGTCGGTACGCGAGCACAAGGGAAGAAAGGCCTGTGCTTTCGGAACGAAGGCAATCCAGCCGAATTGATGGTTGAGGCTGGCGAGTGATAAAGGATGGTGAGGTGTGACCCATTTCATCGCGTCTGCACGGTGCGTGCGTATCCGGCACACCGCTATCATGTGAAACTTTAAACTGCCCGAAGTGCTCCGGCTTGCCACAACACAAAAGGAAGGCTGAATTAGCTGGGCACGTAATTTGTACTCGTGGACTAGATAATTGAATTGAAGATAGCTGTTGCCACGACCCAATACTACGACGGAAGGTGCACGCATCCTTCACCAGCTCCTGCAGTCCTGCACCCAAATATTGCGAAGCAGCCGGCGGCCGGCGGCCGGCTACGGCTACGGCTAGAAGTTGGCGCTGGCGTTGCCTTTCTATTTTTGGGCGACCAGTTGAGCTACGCGGCCCTTTGAACTGCCGGGAGGAGCGGCGTATCATCATCTTGTTTTGTACACAGGGTAGGAGTACTGGCGACGACTGAGAATGGTCTAAACTTACCGACGGTTGTGCGGCCAATGATGTGGTCTGGCGGGTAGAATCCAACAGACTAAGATTTGGCATCACCACCCATTGGATTTGGCGCGGGATGCTGCTGACCGACCGACTGCCGGGAGTTGGAACTTGGGGACGCGGCACGGCAGATGATGTGGCCTTTGTATATATACTTTCGGATGGTTTAGGATTTTGCTGGTCAGAGGCACGCTACTTTGGATAGAGTTGTTTTCTCTGCTATGATTATATCACATGAGTAGATAGATAGAGGAGATTTAGAGTATATTTATGCATACACACTTTGGACGAGTCTTCGTATTACATAAAATAAGAAGAAGATCAACTGTTTGAGAAGAAAGCATAGGCCAAACTCCTATTTGGCGCCTTAAACGCCGACTAGAGTGCATTTTGCTATCACAGGACTAGAAACTGAATGGGCCGGTGCATGAAGTTTTCTTTTCACCTACTTTTCCTTTTGTTTTCACTTATATTTTCGTTTTTAGTTTTATTTTTTATTTCGTTTTTATGAAACACATCAACTTTTTTCAATTTTTTATAATTTTCACATTTTTTATGAAAAATTCATTTTCAAATAAACGAAGTTTTACTTAAATTCGGAAACTTTCCCCCAAAAGTCATTATTTTTTAAATAGTGATTTTTACAAACTTATGATTTTTCCCCAAATTTATGATCATTTTCAAAATCTATGATTTTTTTTTCAAATTTTCATTTTTTTTCAAAATCGTCAAAGTATTTTCAAATTTGTGAACTCTTTTTTCTAAAATCGATGAACTCAAATTCGTGAAGCTTTTTTCAAAATTCGATGATCCTTTTCATAATCATGGATTTTTTTAAATATGACCATTTTCCCAAATTTCATGATCTTTTTCCAAAATTTTAAGCTTTTTTTATTTTTGCTTGAACCTTTTTTAAAAGTCTATGAACTTTTCACAAGTCTAAGTTTTTTTACAAAATTTTCAGACCCATTTTTCAGAAAATTCAAACGGTCAACGGCCGATTGGTCAACCATTGACCGATCGAACGAAGAGGGCAACTTTTTTTTTGAGACAATCGAAGAGGGCAACTCATGTCGATAGATCGACCATGCGACGAAGAAAACCAGAGCGACCTTCTTCCTTTGTTTGGGCCAGTCCCAGACGGCTACCGCATGAGCGTCAGGTAAGCTTTCAGGTGCTAAAGGCACCATTGTCTCGGGCATAGAGGCAGATAGGAATGGGAATGGGACCTTCAAGGAAGGAAAATAACAAATCCGCATGTAGATTGGGAGAAAGTTGTTTAAGAACATCATGCCAGATTTGCATGCAAGGCCGAGTAGTTGGATTGTATTGCACTTTTTTAGTCCTCCAAAAGAGTATGTGCCAAACAGCGGATATGGCTATTTCTCGCGCATTGCGAGTAGTACTAACTTGGTCACGTCTCTGGGGGCGGTACTGTAGTGCCTCCGGCTCG